AACCTTTGCAGGGGCCTATGAAGAGAGGAGGCTTGGGGGAGGGTTATTCAGCATCGCACCAGTTTGAGGAATCTTGGGGTTGACAGAAGTCCTCCTCCTGCTCCTGTACATGCCACTACTAAGACTTCCTCATCGCCGACTCCTCACTCCTCTCCTCCTCCTCCTCCTCCTCCTCCTCCCTCCTCCTCTCCTCCTCCTCCTCCTCCTCCTCCACTTCCTTCCTCCCCCTCCCCTCCTCCTCCTCCTCCTCCTCCTCCATCCTCCTCTCCTCCTCTCCTCCTCCTCCTCCTCACTCATCCTCCTCCCCCTCCCTCCTCCGCCTCCACCCCCGCCCTCCTCCCTCCTCCCCCTCCCCATCCTCCTTCTCCTCCCCCCTCCCCTTTTTCCCTTTTTCCCCGCCCCCTCCCCTCCCCTCCCTCCTTTCCCCCTCCTCCTCCTCCTCCCCCTCCCCTCCCTCCCTCCTCCTCCCCTCCTCCCCCTCCCTCCTCCTCCCTCCTCCATTCTTTTTCCTTGTACAACTTGTCCCTGCCGCACCCCGAAGCCAGTTTTTAGGGCGGGCCGGGCGTTTCGCTTGAGACTTCCTCACCATTCATGACCCTGAAACTTTAACATTGGCAAGGGCTTCACAGACGGAGGGCGGGTCGTTTTCAAAATGTGGCTCTCGCCTTAGCGCCGCGCACATTCGTTTTAAACATTTGTCAGAGTTTCAAGAATTGAGGGCGGCCCGTTTTCCAAATGTGGCTCTCGCTGTAGCGCCGCGCACATTCGTTCACGCAAAATTGCATGACTTTCACGGATTGAGGGCGGTTTCTTTTCAACATGTTGTTCTCGTCTTAGCGCCGCGCACATTCCTTTTCAAACCTTGCAAGAGTTTCACGGATTCCCATGATCCGCGTACCAGAAATGGCGTTTTGGAAAGATTCATGCTTATGAGGGTGCAACAGATATTTCGATTCGCGGTGTGGAAGTCCCAGGAATGGCGTTGTGGCACGATTCAGGATCGTCAAGACGCAACAGTCAGGTTGATCTGTGGCGTTGGAATCCCGAGCTCAATGTTTTGGTATGCTTCAGGGTCTTTAAACATGTGTTTTCCAACTAGGCAGTTCCCTCAGTGGAAATGAACCGTTGCAGGGGCTTGTGAGGAGGGAGCTTGGAGGGAGGTTTTATTCCAACATCGTTGATGAATATTGGGTTTACATTGGTCCTCTTCCTCCTCCTCCACCTCCACCTCCTCCCTCCTCCCTCCCTCTTCGTCCCAGCGGATGAGGTGACCGGCCGCGAGGTTGCCCAAAACATCGTGCAGCTCGAGGGGCCGCGCAGAATGGCAGAAGGTGGCAGTATCCATGCACAGAGCTTGCTGGCTATCGTCGCGGGCGATGTTTCTCCCCCAATCCCCGAGTTTCGCCCGAAAAGTCTGGCCGCTCAGAAGAATGGGAAAACCCTGGGATACACCCCAAGGGGGCTATTCGGACGCACCCCTATCGAGAATGGACCCCCCCCCATCGTATATCCCAGGGTTAGGCCCCAAATTTCTGGTCCATTCGGAAACCCCACGAAGCCTGGGATAGGGGTCGACATATCCCCTGTTATATCGCTGGGCGGGTGAGGGATCAGCGTCAGGGGGAGGTTGCGCCCAATGATGTGGCGGGTCGTTCCCCGCCGTCGGCATGAGGCGAGAGCTCCCCCATGCCGACGCGGCATGGCTTCGGGATCTTCGGCTTCAGGCGGCCGGCGCAGGTCCGCTCCGGCGGCAGAAGGTGCCATCAAGCGGGATCACTCCATATCGTTCGCAGGGGGCAAGAGTGTGATTCTGATGTGAGGCGTGTTGGCCCGCGGAGGCGAGGAAGACAACGCCTCCCCCAAGCGCATATCAGAACATGTCACGCGATGCCAGATCATACCACGTCATATCATAAAAGAGCACGCCATGCAATATCATACCATACTATATCAAACCATTTTATGCCATGACGCGCCACAGCAGATCGTATCGTATCGTACCGTGCCCTATCATGCCTCACCATGTCACGTCTTGCCATTACAGATCATGCCACTTGATACCATTTCACATCATACCATACCATACCACAACATCTCATACCATGTCATACCATGTCGTAGCATAACATAGCATGCCATATCGCACACCGTTACATCATGTTTCACACTCGCATATCATACCATACCAAAACATAACATACCGTGCCATATGCCACCATCGCATATCATTTCATACAAGAACATGTCATTCCGTTACATACCGTGGCATACCATGCCATATCATAGCATAACATACCATATCATTCATGATCATAGCAGTGTATTCACATCATAACATATCATATTATATACTCCGCTTCCTCCTCCTTCTCCTCCCTCCCTCCCTCCCTCCCTCCCTCCCTCCAGGGGCTGCGTGCGGTACGGTAGCCAGCAGAATCGAGCCTTGTCTAAGCCTTGTGATTAACAGATCCCCGCTCATCGAGGCGTGTGCCTTGATCGGCTGGACCAGGGGAAGTGGCCCAAGCTTCTTAGCAATGCTGAGCAGCTAAGCCGCCTTTAATGTGTTTCTCGACTACGTCGAATAGCTCGATACTCGACACTCCCCTCTCCTCATCCTCCTCCCTCCTCCTCCTCCTCCTCCTCCTCCTCCTCCTCATCCCTCTCATCCTCCTCCCCCATTCCTCTTCCTTAAACATGATTTCTCCTTGTCGCACCCCGAGGCTAAATTTTAGGGCGGGCTGGGCGTTTCGCTTGAGGCTTCTTCACTTCTTCACCATTTGCGACACTGAAGCTTCTACATTGGCAACAGTTTCACAGATGGAGTGCGGGTCGTTTTAAAAATGTGGCTCTCGCCTTAGTGCCGCGCACATTCGTTCTAAACATTTGCAAGAGCTTCACGGATTGAGGGCGAAGTGTTTTCAACATGTTGTTCTCGCCTTAGCGCCGCGCACATTTGTTTTAAACATTTGCCAGTGTTTCACGGATTGAGGGCGGGTATTTTTTTTAATGCGGTTCTTGCTTTAGCGCCGCGCACATTCGTCTAAACATTTGCAAGAGCTCCACGGATTGAGGGCGGTTCTTTTCAAAATGGTGTTCTCGCATTACCGCCGCGCACATTCTTCTTTAACATTCGCAAGAGTTTCACGGGTTCCCATGATCAGCGTACCAGAAATGGTGTTTTGGAGAGATTCAGGATTATGAGGGTGCAACAGTTACTTTTATTCGCGGTGTGGAAGTCCCAGGAATGGAGTTCTGAAATGATTCAGGATCGTCAAGACGCAACAGTCAGGTTGATCCGTGGCGCTGGAATCCCGAGAACAATGTTTTGGCATGCTTCAGGGTCTTCAAACGGATGTCTTCCAACGAGGTAGTTCCTTTAGTGGAAATGAACCTTTGCAGGGGCCTATGAAGAGGGAGCTTGGAGGGAGGGTATATTTCAACATCGTTGATGAATATTGGGTTGACGGTCCTCCTCCTCCTCCTCCTCCTCTCCTCCTCCTCCTCCTCCTCCTCCTCCTCCTCCCCTCCCTCCTCCTCCTCCTCCTCCTCCTCCTCCTCCTCCCTCCTCCCTCCTCCCTCCCCTTTCCCTCCTCCCTCTCCCTCCTCCCCTCCTCCTTCCTCCTCCTCCCCTCCTCCTCCTCCTCCTCCTCCTCCCTCCTCCTCCTCCTCCTCCCCGCCTCCTCCCTCCTCCTCCTCCTCCTCCCCTCCTCCTCCTCCTCCTCCTCCCTCCCTCCCTCCTCCCTCCTCCCCTCCTCCTCCCTCCTCCCTCCTCCTCCTTCCCTCCCTCCCTCCTCCCTCCTCCCTCCTCCCTCCTCCCTCCTCCCTTCATCCCTCCCTCCTCCCTCCTCCCTCCCCTCCTTCACTCTCCCTCCTCCTCCTCCTCCCTCCTCCCTCCTCCCTCCTTCCTCATCCCTCCTCCCTCCTCCCTCCTCCTCCCTCCCCCTACTCTCCCCCTCCTTGCTCTTCTCCTCCTCCTCCCTCCCCACCCTCCTCCTCCTCCACTCCCTCCTCCGGCGGCCCTCCGCCCGGGGGGCCGCCTCGAGGAGGGAGGAGGGCGCCGGCGGCCCAGCGGGCAGGCGCAGCCCCGCGGGCCGCGCCCCGGCGCTGCAGCAGCGCGCGCCCCCGCGCCACACCTCCGAGGCCGCTGACGGGCGCCCGCGCCGCCGGCGCGCCGCCGCCGCAGGCCCGGCGGCGGCCGGCGGGGGCGCGGCCGGCGGGCGCCGGCGCTCGGCCGCGGGCGGCTGGGCGCTCGGCCTCGGGCCCGGCGCGGGCGGACATGCGGGCGTCTTGGCATCGCTCGGACGTGCGCCTTTTTTGCTTCGGCGAGGAGCCTCGAGGAGCATCCTTGATCATTTGGCGAAAAAAACACGCACGAAGGGAATGGACGTCCGAGCGATGGCCAGGTGTGGGAGCCAATGGAGCAGCATCCACGCGCAACATGCGGCGTAAGCTCCTTCCCCCCCTCGGGGCCGGCGCGGGCGGACATGCGGGTGTGGGAAACAATTGGCATTTTGCTTCGACCGGTACTCCGCCACCGGGTTCATGGAAAAGGCGCTTCTTTGCAGGTGCGTCGGCTACGGCACCGCCTGATTCCGAGGTTCTGCCTCCTCCCGGCCTCGTTCTGAGGCTGCGCCCCCCTTTTCCTCCCCATCTCTGGTGAATTCAAGCTTCGCGCGGCCCGCTTAGCTTCGACCGGAAGAGGTGCGCTCTCGACCCGCGAATCAAAAAAGGGTGTGGGAAACAATTGAGCAGCATGCACGCGCCACATGCGGCGTGAGCTCCCTCCCCCCCGCCCCTTCCCCCGAAGGCAACGTTGGGCTCAGGTCTCCCGAGCTTGGGTGTCGGACCAGTGATGCGTATACGTGCCAACTTGACATTGCGGGGGGAGGGGGGAGTGTTGCTTCATTTCTTCTCTCAACCGTCGGTATCGTTTGCGCCGTCCCCAAACCTCCGTCGAGTCGCGAACAAAAAGTCACGGGGACGAATTTTGTCATCGCGGGTTCTCTGGGGGCCCTTGCAGGGCCTTTCCGGCCCGTCAGGAACGACTCAGGATGGCAAACTGGTCTCTGGGAATGAGTCGAGACATCTGGGGGTAGACGCCGTGAACAAATCATGGCGACGTCGGGGGGTTGGGTTCCCAGCCCCGCCGTGCCATGGTATCGCAGCCCCGCCATCCCATTGGGGATAGGCCCCCTCGAAACCCGAAGGGAAAACAGCCTGTATCCCCATCTAGGGGGGGTCAGCCTGCCAGCGGGCCCCGGGCCACGCCAGTGGGGATATGGGCATTGGCGAAGCGACGCTCAGGGGAGGAGGAGGAGGAGGAGGAGGAGGAGGAGGAGGAGGAGGAGGAGGAGAGGAGGAAGAGAGGGAGGAGGAGGAGGAGGAGGAGGAGGAGGAAGAGAGGGAGAGGAGGAGGAGGAGGAGAGGAGGAGGAGGAGGAGGAGGAGGAGGAGGAGGAGAGGCGGAGGAGGAGGAGGGGGAGGAGGGGGAGGAGGGGGAGGAGCGACGCTCAGGACACCAGCGCCTGGGAGGGCGGCGACCCGCTGCGGAACGCCGCCGTGGCGCTGGCGCTGCAGGCCGAGATCCGGGCGGCCCTCGCGTGCGCCGCCTGCGACGGCCCGCTGCACGCCGCCTGGCGGCGTGCGGGCTCGGAGAGGGAGGCGAGCCAGCTGCTGCGCCTGCGCGTGTGCACCGGCGCCCTGCTGCTCTTCGCCGCCCTGCGCGCCCCGCTGCCCACGTGGGAGGATCAGGAGGGGAAGAAACACACAGACACAATCCATCGTCGATTCCCCAGAAAATGTGGGAAAATGGGGTAGTGGGGGGGAAGGCAGAAACCCCAAAAATATGGGAAGATATGGGGAGTCTTTTTATTTGTGTGCATTTATTTGTGTGTCCCAGGGCCCCTTCAGAGGAGCTTGACGCCGGGAACTTCCAGCTGCCCCCCGGCGACGGGCCAGCGGCGCCGCGCAAGGTGCTCCTGCCCGACGGCGTGTGCGCCAGCGGGCTGTTGCCCGTCTTCCACGCCCTGGCCACGCCGTCCGGCGCCGCGGTCGCGCCGGCGGCGAGCAGGACCTTCCACGTCTCCGCGCCGCACGCGATGCTGGAGGACGGGCAGCTCCGCTCGGTGCTCACCGAGCGCGGCCCCGGCGGATCTCGAGTGTGGGCCGCGGGGGCGCTGCCTGCGCTGCTCGCCGCAGGGGCGCTGGAGGAGGCGCACCGGCAGAGGCCGGAGTGGAGCACCTCGAAGGGCCTGTGGCAGCCCGACGCCCGCGTCTTCCTGCCCCTCTGCTGCGCCTTCCGCCTCGCGGTGGGGCTGGAGTGCGTCCGCGCCTGGCGCGGCTTCTTCCCCGCCGGTCGGGAGCCCGTCGTGGCAGACCTGCTGCCGTTCCTCGCCGGCGCCCGCACGCAGGTGGCCCAGCTGCCCGTGCAGCTGCGGGACGCGGCGGACGGAGGAAGCCGCGGACTCTACGTGGCGCCCAAGGTTCGAGGAGGAGGAGGAGGAGGAGGAGGAGGAGGAGGAGGAGGAGGAGGAGGAGGAGGAGGAGGAGGCACTTGTCCGCGCGGATTTCTGGGCTCGCCGCTGGGCCCCCCTGGCGGCCGCTGGCGGCGCCTCCGGCACCGCCCCTGGCGCGCTCCGCACGCCAGGGACGGGGGTCGGCGGCGATCCCAGAGATCCGCGCAGACCTCCAGCAGTTGTGGTCACGCAGCTTCCTGCTCCTCCAGAGGTTCGGGCCGGACGAAAGGGGGGGATGGGGAAAGAAGGGGTTACGAAATTTGCTGCGTGCAGCTGGTTTCGGCCTCACCGAGGGGCCCATTCCTCGACACATCGTCGCCTCCGGCGCCGGGAGGCGCCGGGAAAATCGGCTACGTGAGCTGATTCGCAAACCCCCCCTTTGATATCCCCCCCTTTCGCCCAGCCCGCAAGAGATCCGCGTGGACCTTCCAAAGTTGGTGCTTATGCAGCTTTTTCTTCCGCGAGGTCGGGGGACGTCGACCGACCCCCGAGAAGGGGAGGAGGACGAGGGAGAGGAGGAGGACGGCGAGGAAGCCGAGATGCCCTGGTGGGAAGTTCCGAACCTGAACATGGCCAGGGTCACCTCCGAGGGTAGGCACCCCCAAGACCACGATGCGTGGCCCGACCCGAGAGGTGCTGCCCAGCGCGCCCGGCACCCCCGGGTTCGACCCCGATTTCGACTGCTGGTCGGCCGCCGCTCGAGGCGCGGGCGTGCCCCTGCAGGACTTCGCCGCCTGGGTGGGTTCGGTGGCCAAAAACATGGGAGCCACGCGTGTCCTCCTCCTCCTCCTCCTCCGCCTCCTCCTCCTCCTCTTCCTCCTCCTCCTCCTCCTCCTCCTCCTCCTCCTCCTCCTCCTCCTCCCCTCTCCCCCACGCGGCACCCAGGGATGGCCCGAAGAGATCTTCCAAGGCCACCTACCCTGGTTTGCGAGGCGCCGTGCTCTGAAACTCCTGTGGGCTGACAGGGTAAACCCTGTGTGATGTGCCGCGTCCTGGCGGCTCTAGGCTCTGGGGGTTCCCAGGAGGTTTACAGACCACGCACTTGTAATCCAGGGTAGGGTCGTTTTTTCATCCCTCCAAAAAACATGGGAGCCACGCGTGTCCTCAAACTTCCGTCACCGTTAGGGCTCGTTCCGATTCCTCCGATTCGGTTCGATCCGATCCGAGTTCCATGGCTGCCGATTTCGATCCGATTCGACTCGGGATTCCGATGTGGGCTCCGATTTCTCACTGGAGCCCTAGTAGCCTGCCGATTCCCGCCGATTCGACCTCTTCCGACTCGGCTACCGTTTCCGCCGATCCGATTCATTTCGATCGCCGATCCGACCGATCGATTCGATTTGGGGTTATCCTGCGTTGGGTTGCATTAGCGGCTAGCGTACGCCAGCGTCTGATGATCCATGGGAAGTCGCCGCTGTAGCGTCGAGCCAGCGTCGAGCCAGCGTCGACCAGCGTCGATGGGCATCGACCGGCGTCGGTCTCGCAAGAGCCAGGAAGATGTCATGGGAGGCTCCCGTGCCCCGCCGCAGAAGGTGGGGCAGCTGCCCGAGCAGTGCCTGGTCTACTCGTCCTGCCGCTCTGGAGCCGGCGACGTCTACCTGCGCCTGCGGGGCGCGGTGGCGGGCTCCGCGCAGGAGTGACCCTCCGCCAGAGGGACCTCTGGTGCGGGCCCCCCGAGGGGGCCCCCGGCAGCGGTCGGTGGTTCCAAGACGGGGCCCTGGGGGCTGGGGCTCAGGAGGAGGAGGAGGAGGAGGAGGAGGAGGAGGAGGAGGAGGAGGAGGAGGAGGAGGAGGAGGAGGAGTGAGGAGGAGAACCTCGAGAAGTGATGCTGGATTGCCTTTGATCGGCTTCCCATCCTCGGGGCCCCACCCCTCGGCGCCCCGTCCTTCGGAACCGCCGGACGGACCTGAAGCGGCTCACGCGCTGGAGTTGGGCGCCCTCGTGCCCCCCGGGGGCGCCCAGCGCCAGAGGCCGCTCGTGCCTGCAGGGCCGCTCCTTGCGCGTCGCCGAGGTTGTGGTGGTCTCCTTCGTGGCCAGGGCGGCGCCGCTGTACGGCAGGGACGTCTTCGAGCGCTACAGGGGCGCGGTGGGCCGCCCGGAGTGGTGGGGCGTGGGCCTCGTCTCGCACGTGCTGCTGCCCAAGGTCCGCAGCTGTCGGGCCTCGCGGCCGGGCCGGGGGCTCTGAGGTGGCCCATCGGGCGTTGCGTTGCGTTGCGACGACGACGACGGCGGCGGGGGGTGGACGACGACGAGGTCGACGACGACGACGACGGCGACGACGACGACGAGGTCGGCGACGACGACGACGACGACGACGACGGCGACGACGACGACGGGTGGACGACGACGGGTGGACGACGACGGGTGGACGACGACGAGGACGACGACGACCACCACCACCACCACCACCGCCACCACCACCACTACGTCTGAAGTCGGGCCTGTCCCTCTACAGGAGGAATACTCAAAGATATGAGTGATATCCTGGGGACCATTTTTTGATTATTTTGGATATATAATCTTTGGAGTATTTTTTTAGGGTCATCTTAAGTTTTCGTCCGAAATCCCCCTGTAGGAGGACAGGCCCGACCTAAGCCACACCACGCCCACAGGGCCACGACCGCAGGGAGGGAGGCCCCGAGGCCCTCCCACGAGGGTCTCGAGGGGTGCGCGCGCCTCCTCGGAAGCCGGAACGTGTGCCTTGCAGCCGTAAGGAGGGGACAACAAGACGCACAGACACACTTCATCGTCGACCCCCCGGAAAGAATATGGGAATATGGGAAGATTTGGAAAAATATGGGAAGATGTGGGAAGATATGGGGAATCCTTTTCTTTGTGTGTGTTCATTCGAATGTCCCGGGGCCCCCTCAAGGCGGCCGGGGGTGAGCAGGTCGACCCCGCGAGCTCAAGGGCACCCTTGTGTCCCGTGCCTCGCGGCGCGTGCCCTCTCACACTGCTATGGCGTGTCCCCTCGCGTGTCCTCTCCGCGTGTCCTTCGGAAGGGTCTCGTGTCCTCTCGCGCGTCCTCTGCCATGAATCGGGGCTGGACAGAACCCCCAATAGTGACACGTCGATTAGTGAATTGTCCGTTTTCGGTTCTCGAGAGGGCGCCGTGGCCGTCAGTTTCCAGGCTTTCGCCCGCCAGATTTGGGCCCGAGGTCGTTTTCACTAAACCACGTTTTGCTAAAGGGGGTTCTGTCCATCCCCGAATGAAGTCCGACTGCACCAGTGCCGGGCTGTCTCTCAGTCCCAGGACTCTTTTGAGGGTCGGGGGCGACGTCGGGGTGGTGTGGTGTACACCCTTCTTTGCCCCGCTTCCCAGGGGAACAGCGAAAAATGTATACGCCAGGATCCCGCATACGCCAGGATCCGCTTTCCCGTGCAAGTGTCGGAGCGGGGCTGGAAAGAGCGTCGGTGTACAGTCAAAAACCCTAATTAGGACGCGCGATTTTGCTCAGGGTACCCTTGCGTCCTTGCTCTTCCTTGCTCTTGCGTCCTTGAGGTTTTCGTTGTCCGCCGCCCCAAAAATCCCAACTTCGGCTTCCAAGGGTCTTGCGTCCTTGCCGCGCGTCCTTATTAGGGTTTTTGATTGTATAGAGTTCGGCTCCGCTCTTTATTTCACCCCCCTCCCCCCCATTGTCATCCTCCCATGAAGCGACGCTCAAGTCCAGCATCGATCATGTATGCTCCAGGGCCGAAGGTGCCGGCGCATGATCATTTATGGCCCAGGGCTCCGGCTCGGCTCCCCCCCCTCTCCAATGCTATAGTGGGATCGCCCCTCCCCCCCGCTGGATGGGTACGCCTGTGGGCTTCGCGTAGAGCTCGCGCGAATGGGATCGATCACCCGCCTGTAGTCGTGGCCCTGTGGGCGTGGCGTGGTGGAGGGTGGTGGGGGTGGTGGTGGTGGTGGTGGTGGTGGTGGTGGTGGTGGCGGTGGCGGTGGCGGTGGCGGTGGCGGTGGTGGTGGTGGTGGTGGTGGTCCAGTGGTGGTGATGGTGGTGGTCGTCGTCGTTGCTGAATTCTCATTTCTGCAGAATAGCTATTGTTCTGGTAACAATCGCAAATATAAATTGGGTGGACAACACTTCCACTCTCGCTTCGAGCATTGGGGAGTGGCAGCTTATGGTTCAATTGCTCACGCAGGCCATGAAGAGCAAATATGGACATGGAAGCCATCTTCGTTAGAGCTGTTGGCGTGTGGAGTGGATCCCCGTTCGTCGGATCTGCACATTACCGCGCCTGGCGTTGACCTGATGTACTGGCATGTCACGCACATGGAGGCGCTTGGAGGAATGCTGTGCCCAGAAGACCCAACAGGAGAGCTCATCGCACATAGGTTCAACAAGGGAGATTTGTGTTAATATCGATTCTACAAGTCGTTGAGAGGAAAAGGCAACAGTCGGATTGAAGCATGCCGCGGACCTGTGCTCTATTTTTGGCACCTGTGATCCATTGGACCGCCTCGTCCCTCTGGGATGCGCCCCGGTGGGAGAGGGATACTTTGCGCCGGATTTCCAAATTGCGGCGGAAGCCAGCAGTGGAGGGAACGATGGAGTACAATCGGAGAACGGCTCACAAGCTCGACAGATGGTTTCAGCATTGCGGCGTGCAACCACTTCACATAGTCATCGTTGGCAGAGTCTACACTTCCAGCTGGCAGGACAGGGAGGCAGCATGTCTGACGTGGCAGATTAGGGATGGCCGTGGCCGGCAATGGTGGGACCTCTTGAAGGGAATGCCATCCGGGCATCGTGGAGAGGAAGGTTTGCACCGCCGCCGGGGAAGGCAGAAGGCCGAGGACGCGATCTCCCACGCAGCTTGGGGCCCGGCATGGCGAGGGAGGCTCGCCGCCTTCACGTCGCATCGAGGGTCTCTGGCCGAGAAGGGTGAGTTCGTTACCGCCGGTTGCACCGCTTTCAACTTGCCTTTGCCGTCTCCCTCACCCGCAAGTCGCACGGAGCCGCAGGAGAAGAAGACGAAGCACATCATATGGGATGTAGGTGCCGTGCCTTTGCCTTTGCCGCTGGAGCGAGACAGTGCATGGAAGTCGGGGGCCCGATTGCCGCAGCTTGAGTTCGTAGTTGGCAACCAACTCTTGGCTGGTGTGGCGAACTGCGAGGTCGGCATCGACAATGAATTCTACCGCCCGCCGTTGGCCCAGATACGGCAACGCATTTTCCAGTTGTTTGGCACGCACTTCGAGCACAAAGGTTCTTATCTCAATCCCTTGGAGTCGCGGTCCCGGGAGTGCAATGCTGCAGCAGACCATTGTTGCCAAATGCGGTTTTCCACACGGTGAGAGTTGCGACACTTTACCGGACGCGGGGCTGAAGATTGCAACGTCCAGTTTCGTTGGAATGCAAATATTCACCGATGGCGGCTATTCGCGCGGTGTTGGAGCAGCTGCGGTGGCATTTTTCGGTGTCTTTTCAGAGGGCGGCGCTTGGAAGCTGAGTCTCTTGGGTGTCCGAGGGGTTCTGATGCAGTCGGCAGAGTCAGCATGTCACGCGGAAGTGGCAGCTCTAGATCTGGCATTGGAGGTTGTTTGTTGCAGCCTGGAGTGTTCGCCACCATCTAAAAGATGGAGGGCGGCCTGTTGCATGACTATTGTTAAATGTGGTTCACAAGCTTGGCAACCCGTGGAGGGGCGCGACTGCACCAAAAAACCATTGTATTTTTTCAATTGAAGAGCGTATCGCGGGGCTCGCACCTTGTTTTTTACATGGGACAGTGTGGGGTCACCAAAATGTGCCCCTGGCCCCCGGTTTACAGCAACAGCGGCTCTCGCTTGATATTTCCTCCCAATGTACTCCCACATCGCGCTCTTGCGCGGGACTTCCTTACAACTCATGGAGAAATCGCGCTCTCGCGTGGTACTTCCCCACGATTTATTCAGACGCCGCGCCCTCGACACTCAGGAATCACGCTCTCGCTGTGGATTTCGTGACGATTTTTTGGGGAATCGCGCTATCGCTCGAGACTTCCT